CCCCGCGCCCGAAATGGCGGCGCCGGGGCGCCCCCCCGCCCCGAGCCCCCATATATCTCTATATAATCACCCCTATATCGCCCGCTCCGCCGGCGGGAGGCCGGGCTGGCAGCAGCCGGGGACAGGCCGGGTTTTAACTTAACCCCCCGGCGCCCCAGAGCTGCCGCTATCACCGCGTTTATTACTATTTTTTTTTTCCTCTTAAGGTGTGTCGTCACCGCTCTTAAGTTACACTCCGGACGTCGCGAAAAGCGTCACTCAAAGCGAGCTCGGGTGCTGGCGCCTGTAAACAGCGCCTGTAAACGCAAAGTTTTTGCAGCAGTTTGTTTTTTTTTCTTTAGACTCACATACTCCCAGTAAATATGGTAAAGGGCTTGCCTGCTTTTTAATTGTATTTTAGCTATTTAACCACCACATCAAATTTTACCAGACCCTGCTTAAGAGCTTGGAGCAGAGAACCTGGATCTGCCAATTTGGGAAACTTTGAGCAGAGTTTTGGTTGTCCCAACTTCTCCCTCACTAGCTGGATTTTGGGGATTATGAAGGAAGTGGATGACAGCCTGGTTTAAACAGAGGTTTTCTTAAACGTATTCCTACATTGAATTCCTGCCCTTATCAACCTCCCTCTACAAGACTCTCTTCTCGGCCCAGCACAGTTTAATTCCTGAGAGCCCTAAAACTAACCCAGGGTGGGAGGAAAACACCCAATACCAAAATCACCGCACTCCCTTCCGCTTCAGTCCAGCTCGGGGCGGGCAGGCGCTCTGCAAACTGTTGCCTTCGGCTTTCCTGTCCCACACAGAGGGTATTGAGGATTTATTTATTGCTTTACCTTGTAGTTTTACCCCAGAGTAGATCAGTAGCAGATGCTGCTGACGTATTGCTGCTCCGCACTTCGAAGTAACTATATGCACCGCCATACGCATGACCTGCAGTCTCATGTTGACTCATCCAGACAGAATTTACGTTCAAGCACCAGCTCGGGCATAAAATCTACTTGCCCGCTGCTTTCAAAGATGATTGAAGATGATGAAAGCTTTGTTACAGTGTGACTGTTCAGCTTAACCAGATGGTCAAAGTTTTGCAGAGCTCTGCTGCATGTATCTGTCTGCGCAACAAATCCCGTTAAAGCATTTGTTTTATCCTCCTCCTGATACTCAAAGCGAGGACTGTCACAATCCACTCGAGTGCTATAGTACCATGGAACTTAATAGAGTCAGTTTTGCCTTGTTTTCCTGCTGCGGCTGTTCCATTCTCATTTAGCTTGGGCATTTCAGTTGTAAAATACCTTACAGATGAATCATAGGTGTTGTCCATTCTTGAGCTCAGTTTGTTTCTTCTGTCCTTCCTAGCTGGGATCCTAAGTTGTCAGCATCAGAGCACGAATACCCGTCACCAGAGAAAGGTTATTTGGCAGCCGTACAAAACACGGGAAACCCTACAGATTGGATTTAATCCCTGCGGAGTTTTACACCAGATCTATATCGCAGACTTCTGCTGGCACAGCTCTGTCTGCGAGTGCTGTGACCAAGCGTGGCCCGCAGCTGACACAGCTGTGCCAGCAGAAGTCCCGCCGTGGATGTCCTTATCTGCGGAACTGCACTTACTGATACCGCCTGTTTTCGTTTTTAAGGGTGTTTGTCCTACACTCGTAGCTGTGTTTTGCCAGGGAAGCACAAGGCTCCCAGGACAGGAAGAGATCTGGTGTAATCACACCTTTATTTGTCTGCCTAGGAAGGGACAACCGATCTATTTGTATTTTACTTGTGTGCTCTCCTGCTCCTATCCATGGTCAGTACCAGTTTGTTGACTTTTACAGACAGAAATCTCAGCTGAAGTGAGTGATGTTGCGACTGCTACTTGTTTTCCCCCTTTCCCCTCCTCTAGAAGTGCTAGGAAAGCCTGTGTTTCGTGTGACAACCCGGAATTATTTGTATTCAGATTCTCCATATTTTCCATTAATTATCCTTTTGTACAAAGCAGAGCAAACTTCTGATTGAGTTTGCCCGGTTCAGGAATATTTAGTTCCCGCACTGGTCTTAAATAAGCTAGAAAGTGACTCCCAAGGGGTGTGTATGTGTGTGGACACTGGTAGCAAAATGAGAGACACCCACTGGGGAAGAAATCATTGATTTGGGTGCTCAGTTAAGTTAAGTTTGAGTCTTCAGTTAATTTAACTACAACGCTGAGAACAAAAACTTAGGTAGGTTGCAGTAGCAGCTGTCCTCTTTCAGAGGTCAAATGTGCAAATGCAGAGGTATACTCTTTTTTTCTAATTAAAACCTTTCCAAGGGCATTCTGTTGAAGTGGCAGCTTCAGTAACATGCATAATTTCAGGGGTGTTTTCTGGCCACAAAACAATACTGCTTAGATCAGCTTTATTCTGTTGAATGCTTCTAGGTTACTTAAGTTTTAAAAGAGGATAAATATGAATAAATAGCCTGCTTGGTATTTACTGGAAAGAGCTTAAAGAATTCCAAAAGGGCACTTAGACACTGAATGTGATCCGATTTGCAGATCTGATTTGCAGAATACTGAAAAAGCAAATATATTGGGCGTGTTTGGTAGTGTGGGAATATAAAATGGCACTTTAGAAAACGTGAAAAATTTAAAGTCTGTTTCATGCATACCCTCTGAAACTAATCCGGGAGGATTTGTTGTGTGTTTACTACTTAGGCTATTAAATGCTAAGACTCTGCTAATATATATATTTCTAAATTCTGTGGCTTTTTTGATGCTAGGCTATGATCAGACTTTGTGCACTTGCAGCTCGCTGTCGTCTTTCAACAGGGTGTTTCTGCTCTGGTCCTAGGGCAGTTTTGTCACAGCCATAAAGCCACAGGTAGCACCTAGACACACAGGCAGCCCTTCCCCTCTGCATTTGTCTGGGCTCCCCGCGTGCCCCAGAAGCTGCTGCCTGAGACACCGCTTGTCTCAAACTCATCGCTCGCCCAGGTGTCAGGGCTCCGGACTTTGAGGATGCTCCGCTCAGTAAACTCAGCCTAAATAAGCAAAACGGGGGCCAGGAGCCGCAGGGTGTTCCCCTCTAAGGGTGACGATTGCTGGGTTGGCCCCAACAGTAACATCCAACTTGGCTTTTGGATTCTTTTTTTAGGCAGCTGTCTGCACAGCTGCTGTGTCTCATCTGTAATTGTAAATGCAGGGGGCAGCTTAGCAGGTGTCTTTAGAGGTATCTATGTGACTACACTACCTTGATATTCCTGTGCTCTCCCTCCGCACCTGAAAAGACTCAGATTCGTGTCCATAAACTTTGTACGTACCTCTTGCTGCAGAAGCCTCCCAAGTGAGCAAAAATCTCAGGGAATAAAGGCAACTCGGAAGCATCCGCAGGAGGTGGAGAAATTATACACTCCGGATTTGCCAGATCCATTTGTGCTTCTTGTCAGGAGGGCTCTGGAGTGAATCTCAGCATGAGGTGCAGGGAGGATCTAGTCCAGTGGTGACACACGCCGTCTGGTTGTGTTTGACACCTGGTCAACTCCAAGCTGTTAGGTGAGAGCTATCTGAGAGGGGAAAAACGGGCCCTCAAATCCCTAAACCGAAGAAAAAGGGAGTTCGGGGGAAGCCAAGGCCTGCAGAAAAGGCACACTAGCGTCCTGCCCAAGAGAACAACTTTTGCAGTTCTTTGCACATCTCCATACAAAGGGTCAAGAAGTGGCCCAGCAGTAAGTTCAGACACCAGCAGCAAAGCTTTTCCTCGAGGCTTCCAAAGGGTTCATTTAAACTAGGATCAAAGCTGGGCAGGCGTGCTTTCTGTGCTGTTCTGTAAGAAACAAAATTCATACCTCTCAAATGAAGCAGTTGAATCAAAACTAATGAAAAAATCATACTTTTTTTTAAAAAAAAAAGAAAAAAAACAAAAGGAACAAAATATTTTTGTGTGAATTCAGTGAATACTGAGACCGAGATTACACAAAATTGGCAGCTTGGCTCCAAGAACAGAGCCCCCTTTAGCTGTTGCCTGTCATGCAAACAGCTAATTTAACTAAGTTTGTAACCCATGTGTGTACACAGGGAAGAGATAAGGTTGTGTGTTCATCCTTACAGTGGCATTTCCTGATGTAAATGATTAATGGCATTTTATGATTGCATGGCATTGTAGCTGTTAATGCTCAGCATATAGCTAAAGGGTTTATTGTTTTCTTTTTAACTTTTTTTCTTAAGCCCTGCTTGCCCATAAAGGGGCTTTATGTATAGTATTTTCTCTGAGAAAGGTATATAAATGAGATTTGAAAGCCTGTTGGGCTAAGATTTATCAGGAAAGTCTGCGGCACAGCTGCATACTTTAACACTGTGCATACATTGTCTGCAGACAGATTTCACACATTTCCAACACTGCCACACAGGCAAGTTAACAAATATGCTCAATCAGGCATGTGCCAGGAGGGAAATGAAATACCTTCTTTTTTTCTTTCCGTGAAAACTGTGTTGGTGACACTGAAACGCTTCTATGTGGAAGACCTTGTTGCACCCACGTAAGCAGGGCCAGAGGAAGGTGGGGGTTTGCCCTTGCCTCCCTGCTGAAAGCAAGCTCAGGAAAGCAAGCTCAGGCTCGCTCGTGACATGGATGGTTAAAAGTGGCAGCGTCAAAAATAGTTAAGAACAAAACAGCAGCGAAGCTGGCTGCAATTCAAGAAGGTCCATGGGAACTCTTGCACTGCTTCGCTTCTTCCAGCAAATTATCTGTCCTGCCTACAACAATAATCAGCGCCTGCTCCGGAGGGAAACGTTACTGGAGGTGGCAGGGGTGATGTGGGAACGGAGACGACGAGCCTCAGGAGGGGGAATATATTTCTTAAATCCGTGGGGCCACGGATCTTCACTTTTTAGGGTTTTGTGTTCTTTTTTCTCCCTTTTGCGTTTTCAAGATTGCCACGTCTTCAGCGATGTGCGGACACCAACCCACTTCGGAGCAGCCTCCAACCATCCCTGCTGATGGGCAGGGAGACCCAGGTGGCTCAGGATTATTCGCTGCCCTGGCCAAAACGCGAGGAAAAACTCACTGTGGCCTCAGCCTGGAGCAGCAGGGATTTATAGCCGGGGAACTCCTGGAGGCAGCTCTCCCCACAAGAGCCCCAGGCCCGTGGCCTGCCTGATTTAGGTGCTCACGAGCGGGTCTGCGCTGCAAACTGCGACGCAAACCGAACGGAGGGTCCCTACCGCAAAGCCACGTGTCCTCCCACGAGGACCACCGCCTGCCCGAGGCGTCCCGACTCGTAAGAAGCCAAAGCCTAGAAACCAGTTATATTGTAAATGCCAAGGAAATGAGTACTCACGGGTTGAGCTGGCTTGGCAGGATGCAGCGCGGAGTTGGAGCTTTCGTGTTGGGTTGCGGTGGAGGGAGGCGCAGGGGCACCGGGTCTCCTCGGCGGTGGTGGACGTGCAGTGCTTCCCGAGGACCCTGGGAGGGATGTGCAGAATTGGAAAGGGGCCTTGGGCTTTACAACAGCAACAGCGCCAGGAAACCTGCCCTACTGGGATACTGTTTCAAAGAGGAGGTTTAATGGGCTGCTAAATAGAGCTTCGTGGATGCTAGAGAGTACCCCCTCCGGATAAACATTTGAAGCCCAGAAAGCCTTTTTCGCGCTTGTTCGTGTCTCCTGCAAGCCGAAACAACCTTTCGTCAGCAAGTTTCTTCTCCAAGGGAGAGGCCTGGACCTCACGTTTGAGGCAGTAGTGCAAAGCACTTGTTTCCTCTTTGCTTTAGCATCGTGCCTGCACAGTCTATTTTTAGTTCATCAGATTTCACAACCGTAAGGACAACTACAAAAACATCCCCTTTTGGCCAAGCTATTAATATCAAGGTCTGTAGATTGTATTCAAGTTCGCTGATACTCACCCTTTAGAGCAGCTAATGATTTCATTAGGTAATTTCCCCTCTCTTTTTAGGAGTGCTTCCAAAACTGAGCATATTTGTGAGCTTGACTCATGAATTAGTTCTGCCCTTGTCCTCCCTAAGAAATCAGCCTAGAATCTATCTCAGAGGTTTCCATTTAGAGTATTTAGAGAGAAACCTTTTGAGGGAGGCTTTCTATTACCATCTTTTAGCTCCTCTTTCACATGATACCAGCAGGAAAGGAGCAAGCAGGCAGTTACCTTGGGTGCTTTGCTGCTCTCTGCTGCTGTCCTGCCTTCTGGTAACAGCTGAGCTTGTACATGTTTAGTTATGTTGAGTGCAGCTGTTCCTGCTTTTCTTGCTGAATAACAAGATTTTGTGGTCTGAAAGGTATTTGAGAGTTCCTGGTGGAAGGGCCCCATTCCAACGCTCCTGAAACTTTTGATTTGCCCATGTGAGCAAGGAAGTTTTCGCTCAGGAGATGGAGGGGGGATGAATAGCTGGGACTGCCTTGGCCTGTGTGCCTTGGGTTATGCTTGTGTGAGGTTACAGCTTTCTGCTGTGGAGCATCTCCCTGAACAAATGGCTTCGTCTTTCTCCACAGCCAGCCTTGACACATAGGAAATGCCCTTTCCCTTCGTGTTGCCTCAGGCTTAGCCCGCGTGAGAACGGGAGCAAAATCACAGCACTGGAGCTGCTTGGAGGTCCCCCCTCATCATCTAGGGAAAAAAAAAAAGAAACTCCGATAGGAGCTTCCTGCAGCCCTGTGGAGGGTCCCTTCCCCGGCCTCCTGTCGGTGCACGTACCCCCTGTGCTGAAAAATAGCGTTTCCTGCTCGTAAGGACAAGCAGGAAACTCGAAAGTGACCTAAGCTTCTCTGAAAGGGAAACCTACCCTACCAGAGAGGAAAATTTTCGTCATCGAGAGTCCTGATAGCAGGAGACGCTGTCTTCTTAGGGTCATAGGACTTGCCAGCTCAGGGCAGGAAAAGGCCAGTTGGGGCCTGGTAAAAGTCATTCCAGAAAGCTGGCTTCTCCGTACCTGGAAACTCAGTTTTCTTCATCCTCTTCCGTAACTTGACAACTGGCCTTGGAAGCAGGAGGGAGCTAGCACAGGATGAATTATCCACCCTGCAGAAGTTTCCACTTGTGAACGCCTTTCCTCAGATCCTTTTTTTGTTTTGGAAAGAAAAGAAAGCAAAAGGAGACCAGGGCCAGGCAACTTTTCACATACCAGAGTAGAGGCTGAAGTGCCAGGAAGAGCTGGGTCCAGCTCATCAGATGACCCACGACTTGTCTTGTTTTTCCTCCAGATCAGCTGGGTTTCTCAGCCAGGCAGAACTGAATCCCGAGATGTTTCTGGACCTGTGCAGTGATCCTCTTGCTTCTCCCTGTTAGTGCAGAGGGAAAGATGGTGAAGGAGCTGACATTATCAGATGTAAGAGGAATATTTTGAGCAGATGAGAAAACAAATGTTATTGATATATGAATTATCTGTTAATAGACTAGGAGTCCTGCAGTACTAACATCTCTTTGAAATGTCTGGGGTTACAAGGCTGCAGAGCCTTTTTACGTAGCAACTTGGAGAGTTGCTGTGGCTTTAGGAAACCCATATTATTCTTTGATGCACTTTTGATTTATGATTTGACCCAAAGCCAGCACAACAGTCTTGGGATGAGCTGTAAGGAGGTTTCCTGCCTGCTACAGTAACCCCTGACTGCTCAGCTGAGCTCTGCGTGCATTGAAACACTGAAGGGCTCTCCAAACTGAGCGCCATTTCTTAGACTGTCTGTCCCCGTCGCACAGCTCTGGGGTGGCCTATGGCACCCGGGCCTGAAAATCCGTGTCCGACACCTGCGACCAGAGCCTAACCCATGGGGAGGCAGGAGGAGATCCGAGGAGCCCTTCCTGAACCGGTGGATTAACCCCTTGCTTGCTGCAGTATCAAATGAAAGCAGAAAGCTGATGCAAGAAAAGTAGTAAGAGCAACAAAGAGGTGTGGAAAACACTTCCCCCAAAATCCCTTCCCATGGCGGAATAGGAGGATCAGCGCAAGTTTAGCTTATCTTTTGGCATAGGAGTGAGAGGAATTTGTGCTAGCTGTGCCCTTCACAGCTGATGTACACTGGCTTGCAGGTATATCACGTACGGCCCACTTAGCTGCAGGCAGGGGCGCAGGGTGACAGAGATCCTTATGCACACCACAATCTGATGCTAATTCTGACCTAAGAACCAGAGAGCTTCCCGCATTGGTCCCAAACCTTCCTTGCCTCCGGAGCTCGCAGCTCCGGCACGTCTCAGGGCACAGCCTAGCTCTGTGCAAGCCGGTGGTGACGTCCCCGGCACGTAGGCACCTGCAGGCTCTTCTTGTCACGTGCGGGTTTCCTGCAGAGACCCCCTCGGCCTAGTGGTGTCGTTTTGCATCCCCCATCATTCTGGAGCATGGCTGGAAGAGCAGGTGTTAGTTGCCAGCATTGATTTTAAAAGCAAACCTGGTATTTGAAAGTTAAGCATGAGCTAAATGCACATGCAAAAGAATCAGTTAATTGGAAACACAACAAGCCTCACTAATAAGATAGCGGAGAGCCCTTCTCTGTTTATCAGGCAAGCTTTTTAATATGTAATTCTTTGATTCAAAGTGAAATCCATTTGAATATACCCTGTTAAACAGGGGGTTAATTCCTAGAAAATGCTTCATTAAAAATATATCCTGTGTTCAGTCTCCCGTCTCCATCATACTAGCCGAGCTCCTTTGAGTATCAGTGCAACATCTTGTGGCCTCTTAAAATCCTACCGTGGTGTAAACAACGCCGGTTTATTGTCCATTACCGGCGCACCGATCTTTCCCTTTGTCCTTTTGCCCCTTGCCAAGCTTTGGCGAGCGCCAGGCTGCCTGTAGTTGCTGCACAGGGCAGGCCTCGTTCGAGGGAGGCACGTTTCCACACTGGTAATCACTGCTGCGGGGCACAGGCTGCCACGAGCTGCCCGTTGGCTCTGCCGCGCGGGGCGAGCGGCCGACGCGCTGCCCGGCTGATTGCTGCGAAGCTGCTGGCACCACGTGGAGGGTAAGATAACACTGCGGCCGCGGGAATAACCTCTATTCTTCTCCCCACGTGGCGGCTTTCTCTCAAGGATGAAAGGTTAGCGATAAGCTGGCGCGCGTTGTAGGGAAGGGAAGAAATGCCCATTGAGAAAAGCACTTCAAAGGGGCTGCTGCGGCGTGCGTGGGTTTGTTACTGCGGAAGAGTTTTGCCCGGGAAAGCAGGTCGATGGTGGGCCTCGCTCCAGATATCGATGCCGAGGAGCCGCGTGGCTGCCTCAGTAGCTTGGACCCGTCGTGACCGTTCCCAGGCGAGCAAGCGAATGAATCCAAGTGCGGCATTGGCTTTGCCAGTGAACAGCCCTTTCCCTAGAGACACTGTGAGCACCCACCTCTGAGGGCTGCGAGTTGTTCCCTCCCTGGGCCTCTCCCTGTCAGTCTGGAGCTAAGGAAACCTCCGGTTACATTAAGTGCCAGGGTTTGCCGAGATGTTTGCTGCCCCTTGGGCTGCTTCCTCCTCCCGCCTCTCACTGACTTCAGCCCTTAATCCCTTAAGCCACTCTGTCCTGGATCCCATTAAGAGACCACGGCTCTCGCGGGAATGGGGCAGCAAGCGCAAATGGGTCATTTCTTCAAGCCCACAGAGGATACACGTGTAAATAAAGGCATGTGCTATTTAAGCTGGCCCTCCGGGGGCTTCTGGTTAGGCTTATTTACAGTCTGGCAACGCTTCTTGCTTTACAGGGGACATCTCGTGCATTTCTGTGAAGCAGAGCGTGGCTTCTGAGGGGACGTCTACCACGTGTCTGCATGTCAGCCAGCTCCTGAGAGCTGGTTTGAAAGCAAGAGGTGTAAATATGTGTGCAAACAGGCAGATATTCCTTAATACCTGGCTCGATCCCGTTGGCAGGGAGCGTGGGCGCAGCAGGAGGCCACACAACGTCAGGCACCGCGAGGGCCGTCTTTGCGGGCCCAGACTGCAGTGGTAACGATGCACACAAAATGAAGGAACTACTTGATGCTGCACGGTGTTCTCAGGCAGCCAACAGCTCTGCTCCTCTTGTGAGAGGGGGTGGGACAGAGGAAAAGGAAGGGTGGAAGCCTGGACACTCTGGTGTTAGGTTTGAGAAAAGGCCCTTGTGTGTCTCAAGGAGATGAGGGAAGGGGGGGAAATACCTGGGGGCGTACGTCAGCAGGACAATTAGCCTTTTCCATCCACAAGTGCCAGCTGGCCCTCAAATTAGTAGAAAACAGCTAGTTCCCTCCCTTTCCACTCCTGCCCTTGGCTGCTGCACCTTGCAAGGCAGCACCCAGCAAGTCCCTAGGAGGCACTGCCCAAAAAAGTCCCTAGAGCTCCGAGAGGAGCAGCTCGGAGAGGCGACCTCCATAGAGAAGAGCCCTCTGCATCGGAGGGCCCACGTGCCATCGCCTAAGAAAACATTTATATTTTAAACGTCTTTTTTTATATAGATTTAGGAACTCTTCTTTCAGTTGCACTTGCAGACCCTGTCATTTGTGGCTAGCTCCATAATACTAAGCTTGAAATTGTGACTGCTGTTCCTTAGATTTAATAACCGCTTCAAATTTCATCTCTGATCCTTCAGTTTTCCCTCAATAGGTGCTTTCCTGTTCTCCTGTTGATGGGGGGCTTCTCTGTACCCCAGTAGTCCCTGCTTATTTTCCTCATGCTTTCTTTCAAGACAGGATGACATCTCATTATTCAGGAATGAGGTGAGCAGAAGGCTTCTTTTTTAATAAAAGATATGATGGGGCATTTTTAGTCATTTCACCCATGATCTCTGTTTGCAGATGGATTACTACTGCTTCCAACTATCTCTGCTGATAGACTCACTGTGGTCCTTGAGCTCTTACTGGAATTACAACATCTAGAAAGATGGTAGAAAATACTCCCGCAGGAACATACGACAAAAAAATTGCAGAACCCCCCCCCCCAAAAAAAAAATTACCAGAATTTTCATTGTATATTTTCTTCCTAGCTTCCCTTGATTTCCCAAGTATCACATAGACTTGCTATGGGAATTTAAAGCTGCTAGTATGCCGTTAATTGATCAACTTGTTTTGCTCATCATCCCTCCCCCAGCCCAAATGCTCCAGAAATCACTTTCTGCGGGTGCAGATACCAGCTGGGAGCCTGGGACCCCTGGGCTGTTGGACCTCTCAAACCAAAACAGCAGCCTTTCCCTGTACCCTTTTGGCCCATGCAGCCCAAGTGTTATTAAATTTATAGGTTAAAAATGGCTCTGTGTTCAAATTTGTGACCCAGTTGGCCAGGGTTGGTAACCAGTGCCTATTTGCACACATATCCCACCTCCCTGCTCCTTGTCAAGTGGGAAGGTTGTTCATTTCAGAGCAGGATCCGGCTGTGGGAGCAAACAGGCACCAAGGTGTGAGCATGCCGAGGGAGGAGCGGTGACACGGGACGCGGGCCGCGTGCCGGAGGGCTTCCCAAGTCCTTGGGCAGCCTGGCTCGTGCGTGCTGAGACCGAAGCCCATAAAGCAAGTCACTGCCCCGGACACCAGGACGTGGAGTTACACGAACGTACCTATGAACATAGGGCTGGAACAAGGGGCGCTTACCGCTTTCTTCAGTTGGCCTCTGCTTTTCTTCATTAGAAATAGACCTCTCATTTAGGCACCGAGGTATGAGAGAACTTTTAACAACATATACTATAGACAAAACTCTCTGGGGGAAGGCACTGGTGATTATTTGGGAGCAGCATGTAGACCTGCAGGACTTGAACCTAGCTAGCTTCAAATCCAGGGCCTTAAAAAACACTTCCAGATTCTTAGATGCTGTTGACTTCTCCTCTATTAAAAAATGAAAGGGAATTTAAGAAGTTCCCCATTCAAAGAAGGCAGAGTGTCCTAGCACAAAGCCTCCATTCTCCTGTTGTGTCCATATCATCTACGGGGCTGCTTCAGCTGCTTCCTACCAAAATCACAGTTTGCAACTACCTGCAGCCTCCACATCTCACATTCTCCACACCCACACAAGGACAGAGCAGTTTTCTGCTTTTCCAAAACTCCCCGTGTGCTGAAGCTCCCAGTATTTGCTTCCCAAAGGGCATCTCTTGTGGGGGGAAAAAAACCTGCAGTACATCCTCATACCTCAGAGGTACCCACCAAAAGAGCCCAGGGTGCCCCCATTGGCTCCTGTTACAGTTAATGAGCTGGAGCTCATTAGTTTCAGCTGGGAGCGCAATTAGGGGTTCAGCTGGGTCTTGGCACCGTGCCAGGCATCCCTCAGGGTTTGGATGCTGGTCCGAAGGTGTCTGAGAGGCGCGAGGAGGAGTGTTAAGATGGCGCTACACCCAAAGTGCTGGTGCTGCCTACGCGTGTGAAAAATCAGCACTGCTCCTGTTCCCCCAGCCCGGCCGTGGCTCCCATATCCCGCCATGTGCTCCCGCTCCTGCGCTTGCAGCAGCACCGGTGGTCGCGTGGTCTCGCGGTGAACTGGTTCTAGGAGCAGTGTTTATTCCCCCCAAACACTAACTGAGGGAAATATATATATATATATATATATATATATATTGGTTTGCTTTCAGGACGAGGCAAGTGGAAGACTGAAACATTAGCAATTGGGAACCTAGACTGAATTTGTATTTGCTTCAAAATATGCCCAGTGACTCCCCGTTCTTGTTTAATGCTGCCGTTCTGCAGAAGAAAAAAACAGATATTTAACTTTGTTTTGATTTTCCTGTAGCTACAGAAATGACACCCATGTCCGTGTAGCTTAGTGCTATTCGGAATAGCATTAAAGTGACTAACATCCGAGAAACGTGTGTGTCATTCGCCTCGCAGTTCGGGCCTGGTTTCTTCGGAGGCCCTGTGGCAGAGCAACGTCTCCCCGCACACGGGGTCTCAGCACAGCTTGGCCGGCGCCTTCCCAAGAGGAAATGCTCATCCCAAAGCCTCTGGACGGGGCCCGCGCTCATCTCTGGGCCCGTGGGCAGGTGCAGGAGTACGGGGTGACGCAGGCGGCGTCGCCGCCGCTGTTGCGCCCGGATGGGGACGGCAGGAAGAGAAGCACTTTCCCACGGGCCTTTTTAATGGGAAACGCACCTGGACATTTAAAGCTGCCCGGCGCTGGCGGGAGGGCTGCTGCCGAGCGTTGGGAAGCAAAGCCAAGATAAAGACAAATCCCACAAAGCAGCGCTGAAGCGCAGCCTGCAGCTTCGATTACACCGGCGGGTCCCCTTCCTAATTTCAGAGCCTGAAACGGGGCTGTGAGCTGGGGGTCTGCCGGGGTGTCCCGCATGATCCGCCCCGTTGGCCTCCTGTGGCCACCACTGCTTTTATTGCCCTACGGCTTCACCTGGAAATAGAAGTTTGCTGTCGTAAGAGGGGTGGCTTGCAGCTGCCACGTGCATGAAATGCAGGGGGTTAATTCCGTGTTCCTGGAGCTTCCTTGCGTGCTCTCAGGGGAGGTTAAAAAAAAAATCTTCTGGCTGAGGTACTTCGCAAAGGAGAGCATATGGATAAGGAGAAGGTGTCTTCTGTGGACCCGCCGGGTTGATGTTGGGTAAAATTAAAGTTGTGTGTGTGTGAGCAGCTTGTTCCGTCAGTCTTACGTTGTAACGACTCCACGGTGTTTCTTACACACAGTCTGGGAAAGGTACAGAGGCCGGCATCTCACCTGTAGGGCGAATGTTCTTTTTGGCTGAGGTATCACAGGGCTCTTCTGACAAGTGTCTGCAAGCGTGGTTGGTTTGAACTCTCCTGCGTGCAAACTCGCCCTTCAGGCACGAGGACGTTTGGCACTCTGGTATCCCGTGTGTGTAAGACCAGCCGATGGGAGTTTTGCCTGCACCTTGTTTTGGCTCTGCTAGGCCACTGCTAGGTGATAAAAAGGTTTTGACTGAGACTGAGCGATAAAAAGCACGAAACAGAAAAGCTAGGAAGGTAGTGGGGAAAAAATCAGCTTATTTGCCTTCAAGCTGCAGTTTCAAGTCTCGGGTAAGTGAAGTGCAAAAGTGGGACTTTTGCACGCTGTGAATTATTGCTGTAAAAAATAGAGAAGAGCCTTTCTCTCGTTTTTTCCCTCTGCGGGAGAGAGCAATCCCTGGAGGGCAGGAGGGAAGTGCCGCGCTCTCGTGCAGAGGCTCCGCGAGCTGCTGCGAGCTTCAGCGTGTGTGTTTGTGCGGGGCGCCGGCGCGGGGGGCTGTGACATGAGTCAGAAAATAGGTGAGAACAGAACAGTAAAATAAGTACTTAACCGTTCTTCTGTGGTTTAAGTTTTTCTGTATCAAATTCTGCCCTGTTTCTTACACAGCGCAAAGGAAGGGAGGTTGTTAAGTGGCAGGCAGTAATGGCTGTGATGATCTTTCAGACTAACAGGGATGCCAAAGGAAAAATATGACCCTCCAGATCCTCGCAGAATTTACACCATCATGTCAGCCGAAGAGGTAGCCAACGGGAAGAAATCGCACTGGGCCGAACTAGAGATCTCGGGTGAGTCCATCTGCTTGGGAGCTTGGCGCGGCGGGGATGTGATGTGCAAAAGTCACCCCAGCCTCGTCCCAGCAGGAGATCCTGCAGTGCAAACAGGCGTTCGTGGAAGCAGAGGGGAGGAATATTATCCAATGCAGGCGACTGCCTGCAAGGAAGTCTTGCTCGCTGCCAATTCACACGGTTTAAACCACTGCCTGGGCTTGGGTGCTGAGTTCTGTCGCACCTCTGCTTCCCGGGAATTGTGCCTTTGCTTCCACCCTTTCAACAGGGAGTGTTAGGCAATTACTTGAAACCTGTTCAGTGGAAAGATCTTGGACTGCTTTTCTGTGAGAGGGTTCCCCTGCTGGAAATCCCATCCGGCTCTGCATGGGGGTATTCTGACATCCCCCAGCGTTTGTATCTGTAAAACTGTGTAAAACTGTGTAAAACTGACTGAACTGAGTGTAAAACTGACTGAAGAGGGGCTTCTTTTCTATTTTAGGTAGAGTGCGGAGCCTAAGCATGTCGCTTTGGTCGCTGACACACTTGACAGCTCTGCACCTCAATGACAATAATCTTACTCGCATTCCACCTGATATTGCCAAGCTCCATAATCTGGTTTACCTGGATCTGTCATCCAACAAACTCAGAAGTTTACCAGCAGAACTAGGAAACATGGTATCTCTCAGGTGAGATAAATGATTCTGGATAACTTTCCAATAATCTGTTTTGTGAGGATTGGGACTAAGTGTTTTGTGGCTTTCTGTTGATTTTAATTATTCTGAAAAAAAAATCAAGATTGGTGCAAAGCCTTAGTTCTAGTAATTACTTTTGTTACGCTTTTTTTTTTTTCTGATCTCCATGGTTAGATATCTGTATGTTGAATAGTATTCTGCTTTGAATCATTCTCAGTTTGATACTTGGGGACTGGCAAGTGTTTAACTTCTCCCTGAGTTAATTTTGTCGTTTTCTTTTTTATGGGAATATATCAGTTATGCTGTGAAATGGGAAGACTGACATATCTTCTTTCAGTACAAAAAAAAATCAGAATGGAGACTGCTCTCTTTGCAGAGTCCTTTAAGTATATTTAATTCTTAATTTATTTAAAAGTCCTTTTAAGATTTTTCTTCTGGAGTGATACTCATGCAAAGCATTTCTTTCATTTGCTGCAGGGAATTGCTTTTAAATAACAATCTGTTACGGGTTTTGCCTTATGAACTTGGACGGCTCTTCCAGCTACAAACCCTAGGTTTGAAAGGTGAGTTCTTCATGCTAAAATACTCCTAGAAGTACTCCTGAACTACTGAGGGGATTGGGGCTCCAGAGTTTGAGGTATTAACCTCAACACTTCCTTAAAATTTGTTCTAGGTACTAAACTTGTCACAAAGATGACCAATCAGTGTGGAAAATAATGCTGATTTTTAATGCTTTTAAAGCTCATTATAAACTTATCTTGATTTTTTAAATAGATAAATAGATCTCTTTTAACTTTATCTTGATTGAGACGAGGGGAGAAAGTCTATAGGTGATGACTGTGTCTCTAGCATCTGCTGCTGTGGCACTCTAGAGTAACACATATAAGCAAGGTAAAGATCTGATGGGTCAGTTTGTCTGTTCTCATTATGGGAAGTTTTCTGGGGGAAACCTCAGGCAGGCCGGGCAGGGAATCACCCAGCTGTTGTTTTATTTGCTTGGCAGGCAATCCTTTATCACAAGATATTCTCAGCCTCTACCAGGATCCAGATGGAACTCGAAAGCTACTGAACTACATGCTTGACAATCTAGCAGGTGACAAGTCTATAAATCTGACTGACATTCTAAAAGTAGGCTTTCCTGTCATTCATTCAAGAGTCTGAACTGCCAAGGAGAGAGTATTTTCCACCTTTTGTGTTCTGAGATGCATCTTTTATACTTCTGGCTGTAGGCTTTGGCCTGCGTGTAGAAATCATGCTACGTGGAAACCTTCATGAGTTTTATGGTATCGTTTCAGGAAGCAAGTTCTCCAAATTTTGCCATTCTGGTACTTACTGTGCTTTGCTAAAAGTTCAGTTCACATGCAGATTGAGTAGAAAAATCCAGTGCTTCTTTCTGGACTTAAGAGAGAAAAATACTTGGGAATCATAGAACTGACAGTTTGTTCTTACTATGTTTAGCTTTTTGTCTAGCCTTTAAATGCTTTTTTTTTTGTAGATCCTCTGGAGCTTAAGATAGCTTGGGGAATTGGGGTTGCAAAGCAAAGGGTGAAACGGTCTTGTTAAGCCATCAGTTTGATTTAGAAATTGTAACTTACAATCATAAGCCTGAACTAACCACTACTTTAATTTTTTTTAGTTCATCCAGAGCAGCTGCCTCCAAGGCCATGGATTACTTTAAAAGAACGAGACCAAATTCTACCCTCAGGTAAATCTGTATTTTTTTTTCCCCCGGTGTGCAGATAAAATTTTTCTTCGGCTTTATTTTCAGTGAAGTCTTCTGTGTTGTGTGGCTGGGATAAAATAACTGTATACAAATGCAATGTCCACACCACCCGTGACTAAGGTTAGGCTTTGAGGAGTCCCTTATGTGCAGGAGAACACGCGGGGCGCCTCCGAGTGCAGCTGCTTTGATGCCCTCTGTTGTTGTTCAGGGTAAAGTGCAGGAGGCTGCATTTCCCCAGTATCACCAACACTGCCCTCTGTCCTTCCTGCATGTAGCCCTTAAAAAGCATTTGTGGGCTGTGTAAAGAACACAGATGCTAATATTGTTATTGCAGAAGATCTGGTTAATAGCTAATAAGGGTAATATTTGCACTCAGACCAACAAAGAATAGAGAGAAAGGGTGGAAATAAAACAAATTCTGTGTGCCATCACAGTAATAAAGCCCTGCATTTTCTGCTTCCACTTCCCTTACAAATTAGTGCGGTTCTGCTGACTTGCTTTTGTTTTCATAATCAAATTCTATGAGCAGAAGCAGAATTTAGGAGTCATTAAATAGCATTGCTCCAAGCAAGTGAGCTGGTTTGGGCTCTTTGGGCCCTTTTAACTCCTTTTCAAGAAACGCTCAGTGGAAGAAGCCTGCTGAATTTTGTTCAGGAAGCCCTCCTAAATAGTCCAAATGTAAGATACAGCGTTTTGGCTTGAATAATTTCAGCGTTCGTTATCTCACGTGGCTGACATGGTTCTTCCTTTCCTTCTAGCCTCCTTCACAGTCATGTGTTACAACGTGTTGTGTGATAAATACGCCACGCGGCAGCTCTACGGCTACTGCCCGTCTTGGGCCCTCAACTGGGAGTACAGAAAAAAGGGAATCATGGAAGAAATAGTCAACTGTGACGCAGATATCATTAGCCTTCAGGTAACAGCTTCGGTTTACATCACAAACAGGAAACATGAACTTCCACCTTTAGAGTGCAACATTCTCTTGAAAATGCCATATTCTCCTGTCTGCTAAGACATGCTGGGGCTCACCCACCCGAACTGTGCCCACGGCATCTTGTTCACGTGCAGTCTTGTGCTTTACCAGATAAGACAAAGGATTTGGTGTAAAATTAGCTAAATCCCCCAATGCCACTGTCTCCTGCCCCCTCCTGCGTGGGACAGAAGTTAAAATATCTATTTCTCAGAAACAATCTCACTGAAAACAGAGGACCAACATGTTCAGAGTTCAGTATGTGGTTGCTGGACTGACACCCCTATGTTTTACTAAATTACATGTTAAATATGTATTCATATATTAATTATTAATTTCTGCTGGATATTTGCAGGCCTCTAAGCAGTTTTTAAGCCAGTGCATTGTCCATATTGGTATGTCAGAAAGAGCAGGGGCAATCTCTTGTTGCTGTGCAAAACACACCTGTCACTTGGGGGTAGTCCAGGATATCAAGGAACACAAATCTGTTTCTAGCAGGCCATTAATCTAGGAAGTGACATGATTTGGGCAAACAGGAGCCTTTGACTTTGGTAAAAGTTGCTGACTGCAAGCCAAGACAAGCACCGGTTGCCATACATGATAAGAGGGGCTTAGTCTCAGATATTTGTGTTCCATTGCAGGAAGTGGAAACAGAGCAATACTTCACCCTTTTTCTGCCAGCCTTGAAAGAACGAGGATACGATGGATTCTTTTCTCCAAAGTCCCGTGCCAAAATCATGTCTGAGCAGGAGAAAAAGCATGTGGATGGCTGTGCAGTATTCTTCAAAACAGAAAAGTAAGGGGCAAAAGCAGCATTTCTTAAAAGCATTTATGAACAGTTTGATTTGTTACTATGCTTTGGCTGTCCCTATTTAAAAAAAAAAAACCCTCCATTTGTTCGTAATAAATATTTTTCTAAAAAGCAGCTTTTCTTAAAAACAAGCGAACAAAAACTTTCATTAGAGGAAGATTTCCGTTTGTTCTGAACTTAGATGTTTTGCAGCATTTTAGGGCTGGAAAGGAGTAAAAAGACAATTTCACGCAGAATGTTACACAACTAAACACTCCTAGACCCCAGATATCTCACATCCCAGGAGAGCAGCTCCCTTGCCAGACAGAGTGCTCTACTCTGGCTCCCTGATGCTTCCTAGTGTCAGGGCTTTTCCTTTAGTAAAACGAAGGGACAGAAGAGATGCACCTCGCGCTGTCCCCGTGGATGTGGGGAGCTGGAGCTCCCACGCGGGGTGCGTGTTGCAAACCCCTGCGTGTCAGGCGCATTCACACGCGGGTCCCTTTCTCTGCTCAGATTCAGCCTGGTGCAGAAGCACACGGTGGAGTTCAACCAGGTGGCCATGGCGAACTCGGAAGGCTCGGAAGTGATGCTGAACAGGGTGATGACCAAGGACAACATTGGGGTTGCTGTGGTGCTTGAAGTGCACAAGGAATTGTTTGGAGCAAGTGAGTATGAGCACAGTTATCCTGAAGTCTGATTATTCCATTCCACTTAAGGTGAGAATTATTCCTTACCCTGCAGAAATTGGGCTAGTTTGAGAAGCAACAGTCCATCAGAAGCTAACACAGGCCATGGGTGACAGGATTTTCTGATTTGGCTGCACATTTGTCCGTACATCCACCATATATGCTTCTCCTATCAAGATTTGTCCTTGCCTTCTTTGACAATTAAATTCTATGTATTTATTCTTCTAGGTATGAAATCACTTCATGTGGACAAACAGCTGCTCATTGTGGCCAATGCCCACATGCACTGGGACCCTGAATACTCGGATGTGAAGCTCATTCAGACTATGATGTTTGTCTCGGAACTGAAAAATATCCTCGAGAAAGCCTCAAGCCGGCCTGGTAGCCCAACAGCAGATCCTAATTCTATCCCTCTGGTGCTTTGTGCTGATCTAAATTCACTGCCTGATTCAGGTAGGACTGAGAATTTCTATTTTTTTTTATTTTAAGATACCGAATCTTCCTTTCTTCTGAGGATTATTTGGTAGTTTGTGCTTCCTTGGTTAAGAATTGGTGAAAGTTTTCTTAGTTAACAGGTGCCTTTCAAAACCTGAATAAGGAAAATGAAAGCCCTCTGGAGGAGCAGGCTGGGCTTTGTGATGAGCTGTACATGCTATAGAACCGAGTCATGCCTTAAAAGATGCATAGAAAAGCACAGAAAGATCTAGAAATGAATTGCTGAATAAATAAATAGCCTTGCCTTGAGCAGCACTAGTAAGAGGGAATGCAGTGAGTTAGCATGACAGCTTTCATCAGTCCTTAATCAAGCTCAGTCTAGCTCCATCTAGCACTCCCTGTGTCAGTAGCTACACCGGGGTCTCACCGTAGTCCTAAAAAATTGTGTCAAACCCATTGGAGAGCCCTGTTCCCCAGCTGCAGGTCAGAGAGCCGAACACCTCTCAGGCACGGGCGAGATGGCGGCCTCTGGGTAGATTTCCCCTTAGGTGGGAAGCTCTTTTCTTTCTGACTCCACGGGGTCTCTTCTTGGTGCCTTGGGTTTTAACACCTCGGTCAAAACACCACGAGCACTGGCTGGATTTTAAAGCAGCTCACGGGCCCATTTCCTTTGCAAACAGGGGTGGTGGAATACCTAAGCAATGGCATAGTAGCTGACAACCACAAGGACTTCAAGGAGCTGCGTTACAACGAGTGTCTCATGAACTTCAGTGGCAACGGGAAGAACGGGGCTTCCGAAGGAAGAATTACGCATGGCTTCCAGCTCAAGAGCGCCTATGAAAACAACTTGATGCCTTACACCAATTACACTTTTGATTTCAAAGTAAGCAGCGGTTTCTTTCTGAAACAGCAGGCGCTGACCTGGTCTCTCCAGGTCTTAGTGCTCTGGCAATTGGCTGTTCTTGTCTCTGGTCTCCTAAGCGGTTCCTGCACTTGCCGGGGCCTTCCCAAAACCCAGAAATCCTAGATGCGTTGGCACTTTTAAGCTTCTGAAGCTGACCCTGGTCAGGCACTTAAAACCGAGACAGCACATTGAGCCCAGAGAGAGTCATGCATTCGTTGCACTAGTGCCACTGCTGCCCATCCTGCTCTGAACTGCAGCAAGAGGCAAGTCGCGTACGGGTTGCCGGTCCCGGGTCTGTTCTCACTGTTGTCTTTCTCTTTCTCCCCAGGGTGTGATTGACTACATTTTCTATTCCAACACTCACATGAACGTGCTTGGTGTCTTGGGGCCTTTGGACCCTCAGTGGCTGGTTGAGAACAACATCACTGGGTGTCCCCACCCTCACATCCCTTCAGACCACTTCTCACTGTTAACACAACTCGAGCTCCATCCTCCGCTCCTGCCTCTCGTCAACGGCGTTCACTTGCCCGGCAGGAGGTAGTGGAGCCCTGCCCCGCTGCGGGCAAGGACCTGTTGTCATGGACCTGTACAGTTGTAAATCAAAGTATATAGGAGTGAAGTATGGCCAACCTTAAGCTGCTTCTTCAAGCTCCTTTCCTTATGTGTTCGATATGAGATTTTGCACATTTTGGTGCATATTGGTATCATTTGGCACTAGGGCTGGAACCAAAGTATTATTCCCTTTCCAGGTTTTTAATTTAATTTTTTTTTAAACCGGCAAGCTTTTTCTTTTCCGTAGGAAGCTGCACTTAAAAGTGGACAAATGAGATTAAAGACTTGCATAGTAGCGTATTTAAAGATGATATTCTTTTCCAGAACGTGGCAAAATGAGCCATCCTTTTAGGAGAAAGAAAAACAAAAGTAGAAATGGTTGTCTGGTAGGAAGTATATTAGAACTGCTGTTTGTCTGAATCCAAAATGGAGGCTGAACTCTGCATCCAAAATAAATTTTGCACATCAGCAAAGCACTTAACATTTGACTATAAATTATTAGCAGTGTGGCCCTGCCTGTTGTGTAACTAATAGTAGAAAACCAAAGATGGCTTACAAGCCACAGCGATACCTAAATTCTCCTGCCGTAATTTCATTCCCAATGACCATACAGCAAGCAAGAAGTTGTACTTGAGCATGTAATGCCCTATAGATCGCTCGCTTGGCAGCTGCAAAGGTAACTGGTTTTTGGAGCTCTGAAGAACTGGGTCCCTTCTGGGTGAGATACTGGGAGTCCAGCCTGTGTCTGTGAAGCAGAGCTCCCTGTCTGCTTGGGCAAAGCAGGGTGACCCTGGTTGAGAGACACATTTCGAAATGACAGGAAACAGCACCGAGGGAGTTGCCAGCATTTGAGTGCTGGGAGAAAAAAAAACAAGCACCAGGTCCGTTCCGGTCCCCTTTGCTCAAGGTCAGTCGTAAAGGTGAGAAACTTTGGACAAACTGGTCCCACCAAGGGTACAGGGAAAAGCCGCTGGAAACGATCGCACTTGTGTCTCCAAAGTGCACGGGGAGGAGCTGTCTGACAGCTTTTTTTCACGGGGGGACGAGAGGGGGAGCCATAATCATTCCTTGGATTATTTTTCCTGACCCTAGTTGCCAAATAGCCATCATAAGTTTTTAATACTCTTTCTTTCTGTTGTTGGTCAGGGTTGAATTAAAAAGCTGCTGGTTCATTCCCAACTGTTAATGCTCTTTAGATGTGTTGGAAGTATTTTTTTCCCCTTCTTCTTCTTTTTACGCTCGAGGTGGCCAGTTCAAAACCTTGTGCCTCAAGAGGCATTAACATAATGCAATTTTCTGAAAAAAAAAATTGGTTGGCTGCTTGATGTTAAAAAAAAGGCACAGTAATAGGAAAAGGTTGTGTCTGTGTTTTTAAGTTTTTCTTTATTCTGCTTTTTTGCTGCTATAAAATTTTCTTGAATTTATATTTTAAACTTTTCATGCACTTTACTGTTTCTAGTCTCAAAATGTGATATTTTCAATAAATGAAAAAATTTTCCATTATGTGAATGAAATTTTTAAACAGATCGATAGCCTATATTTATGTCTCATTCATACACTTACCAAAAAAAAGTCAAATTTAAATTGTGCAATTAGTTTGAATTACTAAGGAGCCATCTGCTGCCTTGCAAAAAGGACCATTCAGGCTGCTCCTCCACTCTTTCGTTAGACATTTCCTTTTTTGTTTTATACATAGGAAACCATCCATAGGAAAAAAAACAATTGGACCTAGGGGAGAAAATAGTCCCTGGCTTTCGTTGCGGGGCTGGGGAAGGGGAGGGGGGTGAATAGGTGGCTGAAATTGGTTCAACGCAATGACAACTCCCTTGTAAAAGTGCCTAAAAACGGAGGCGTCATCTGTGGCCTGCTGGCGACTGGAAGTGCTGGTGGCCGGGGAAACCCGGGAGCGGGAACCGCTCCAAAAAGCCCTTCGGAAAGCGGGAGGTTTCCCCTGGGCGTGGGTGCCTCTCGTTTCACGCACCCCGCGCTGCATGCCTGGCCACGCGGGCTAAGCGAGCGAGAGAATAGTACTGGAAAGTAGAATATCATGAAAAACTTAATTGTGTGGACATTACCTTTCTGTAACCAGCTACTGTATCTGTTGTGGAGCGGGGGCCTCCGCGCGCCGCGGGCTGCGCTCGCCGCCCGCCCTCCTCCACGCGGCACGAGCAATACTTCTACCGTACTTCACTCCCAATATTTTTTGAGCTGTTTGTATAAAATGGAATTTCGAGTTCACCGATGATTGTATATGAACTGCCGAGGAGCCCGTTTATTAATAAAAACGAAAACCAACGGCGATCTGTTGTAGTGTGGGGAGATGGAGGGGAAGGGGAGAGCAGCGCTGGCGATCGCGAGCTGCAGCGGGGACCCGGCTTTGCTCTGTGCCCAGCGGGAGCTCTGCCGTGGGGATCCCTCTGCTCCACAGTGCCCATGCTGTGCTTTTCAAAACATGATTTGAACATGTGCTGTGCAAAAAAATGAGTTTTTTTTTTTTTCAAGAAAAAGTCTTACCTTTCACATGTCCACCTCTCCATGCTCCTTCCACCCAGAGAAGGAGCAGTCAGGGTGGCGCTTTTATCCCCGCTCCGAGGAGCTGCCCCTCTTCTTCCCACCTGCCCCTTGTTCCCGGCTCAGGCTGCCAGAGGATCCTATCCCTGCTCCCGGCCCCACACCTGGGTTGGTTCCCGAAGCTGCGTCCGGGTGCCGCCTTCTCCTCAGCCACCAGCAAAGAAAAGAAACCTCCGACGAGTAGCTTCTTAAAACTTGCTGTGGTAAATCTGTTACATCCGAGTGTTTTTGTGTCACTACATATATCTAAACATATATGCATATATAAAAGAATTTTTTAGAATGTAGCTGGATGTTTTTGTTCTGTCATTTCAATGTTAGAGAGCACACGCATGTCTATGTCAGGTACGGAGCAGGGGGTCTCAGAGCAGCTTTTCTTCCTCTTGGTGTCTAGCACTCATTGAGAAAAACACTTTGTTTCCTCAGGTATTTTTATGTAGATTCAAGGCCCAACTTAAATGTACTTTTTTTTTATCTGGAAGGACACTCTCCCTGCTGATTGGGGAGATGATTGGCCTAAACGTGCCCTTCCACGGAGCTCAGCTTGGCCCTCTGAGAGGACACCAAGTGGGAGAAACGTCCTCGCCTCCGCTCTCATTGTCTGACTTTCGAGTTCGCTCTTCTGTGATGGCTCCAGATGGATCCAGGCGCAGCTAAGCCGAGCGGCAGCGTATCAGGTGGCCGCTCTTGGCACCCATCCTGACCCCAGGTGAGCTTTCCCTTTGGAAAATGAGAGCCGAGGCAAAAAGCAGAGCCAGGGAGACAGGCACAGGTAAGGCGCAGCGTTTACCCCAACTTGCTCGTCAGAAGACAAGCAATTCGATTCTGTCGCGAATAATAAAGCACAATAAGGCTTGCTGGGTTTGGCTTTATTGGAGGATGACCGACTTGAGGGACAGAGCGTCTCGGAGGATGGCTGACAGCAAGCGCGCAGCGGGAGTGCTGCGCATGCCCCTGGGCCCGCGGTGTTTGAAGCAGCGTCGGGGCCTAGCGTGCCGGGCCATGCGGAGTGCCCCTCGCAGGCTGACGCAGCGCTTGGTCTCACACCTTGACACAGCACTTGGTCTCGCTTGCACCTCCCCTCCGTTCTGGCGGCGAGGGCTCAAGTGACCCCGGTGCTCGGTCCCGTCCTCACTACGGACCGGCCTACGAACCTCACTATCGCCTCAGAATGTCAGCACGTCCGGATGCAGCTGCCTTTGCTCCAAAGCAAAAAAATCCCCTCGCACACACGACCTGCTCTCTTACTTTGGACTTTTGGGGCTTGTTTTAAGTCCAGATCATGCCCTGCTCTCCCACTGCCACCACCACCTGCTTGGGTTTTGCCCTGTCCACCTCGGAGGCCAGTGCCGCTTCCCCGGAGGGACAGTAGGAGGGCTGTTCCGGGACACCCTCTTCTCCCACCAAACTTTTCCTAACCCTACGGCAGCTCAAAGAGGGAGATGTTCAAGACCCTGAACTGACATATTTTTCTTCCCTCTTTTTTTTTTTTTTTAATTTTTGGATCTTGCTCCTCCCTGCTCCCACTTCCCCAGGCCACGTTGCAGAGAGCGGGTCCTGCCCACCCTCGATGTGCAGGGCTTCGCGGCTGCCTGTGTCCTTGCACTCGTGCGCTCTTATGTCCTCCCGCGGGCAGTAAGAGGCCTCGTCGCAGCCACCGCAGGGTCCCCTTGAGCTTCCCGTGCAGCCAAAGGAGGCAGCAAGCAGGGCCTGTGCTGGGGCACCCGCAGCAGTGGGGAGGTAGCTGGGTGTCCAAACCCCCGACACCTCCTACCCTTCGGCAAGTCCCCCGGCACCTGGATCAGCTGGGTGCCCTGTGGCCACATGAGGAGCCCCAGGAGCCCAAGCCACCTCCGTGCCCGGGGCAGCCGCGGAGGAAGCATGGCGGGGCCCGCGGGGGCCACGGCAGCGGGGTCC